TGGGTTGCAATAGTGCGGTCCCCCCTCCACAGGGGGGCAGTGGGAGGGGCTCCCCCAGTGGGGGCAGCACTGCTGAGGCCTCAGATACAGTCAGCATTCGGAGCAGTGGGCAGTTGTCTGGCCGGAGTGTGTCCCTACGTAAGCTGAAGCGGCCCCCGCCTCCTCCCCGCCGGACCTACTCACTCCATCAGCGGGGCTTGGCCTCACCTGATGGGCCCTTGGGGTTGCCACCCAAGCCTGAGCGGAAGCAGCAGCCGCAGGTGCCCCGGCCACCCACCACTGGTGGGTCAGAGGGGGTGGGGGCAGCCCCCTGTCCCCCCAACTCAGCAGGCCCCTGGGTGCCTGGCTTGTCTCCAGGTGGCTCCCGGCGTCCCCCACGCTCCCCAGAACGGACGCTCTCACCCTCCAGCGGGTACTCGAGCCAAAGCGGTACCCCTACCCTCCCTCCCAAGGGCCTAGCAGGGGCCCCTGCTTCCCCAGGCAAGGCCCAGCCCCCTAAGCCAGAGCGGGTCACTTCCCTTCGGTCTCCTGGGGCCTCTGTCTCCTCCTCCCTCACGTCCCTCTGTTCCTCATCCTCTGACCCAGCCCCCTCAGATCGTTCTGGTACACAGATGTCGACTGCGCTGGGTGACAGGTTTGCCATACCTCCTCACCCCAAGGTGCCTGCCCCCTTCTCTCCACCCCCTTCCAAGTCCAAGAGCCCTAACCAAGCTGCCCCGGCTCCCATTCCTCCTGCTGCGGTCCCCGGGCCTGTCTCTACCACTGATGGGAGTCCTGAGCCCCTGCCAGCTCTGCAGACAGCCCTGGTCCCACCACCGGGGGCTCCCATTGCCTCTAAAGACAAGTCCCCCCCACCCTCCCCACCCCCATCTTATCATCCTCCCCCCCCACCCACTAAGAAGCCAGAGGTGGTTGAGGCCCTGTCTGCCCCCGAGACTGCTGAGGAGTCCCTCCAAGACCCCCACTGGCCCCCACCCCCGCCTCCTGTACCTGAGGAGCAGGACCTGTCCATGGCTGACTTCCCCCCACCCGAGGAGGCTTTTTTCTCTGTGGCTGCCCCTGAGCCTGCAGGCCCTTCAGACCCCCCAGGGCCTGTCAGATCCCTGGCTGCTTTGTCCTCTTCGGGTACCTCTTCGGGTACCGTCTCTTCCCAGAGCCAGCTCCTCAGTTCCCCAGACCCTCCTCCAGCTCCACCGGCCCCACCTCCTGCTGGTTCTGTCCCAGGGCTTTTGGCCAAGGCCCCGCGGAAGGAACCCGTGGGCTGCAGCAAAGGTAGTGGGGCTCCCAGGGAGGATGCTGCTGCACCCCTGGTCACGCCCTCACTCCTGCAGATGGTGCGGCTGCGCTCCGTGGGCACTCCTGGGGTAGCTCCGAGCTTGGCATCAGGGCCATCGGCCCCCCAGAAGCCCCTACGAAGGGCCCTGTCGGGCCGGGCCAGCCCCGCGCCAGCCCCCTCCTCGGGGCTCCATGCTGCTGTCCGACTCAAGGCCTCCGGTCTGGCTGCCAGCCAGGACCCCGTGAGTGTCCAGCCCAATGGACCACCTGAGGCGGAGCCGCGCTCTCCCCAATCCCCTGCCTCTATGGCCAGCTTCATCTTCTCCAAGGGCACCAAGAAGCTGCAGCTGGAGCGGCCGGTGTCCCCAGAGACCCAGGCTGACCTCCAGCGGAATCTGGTGGCTGAACTTCGGAACATTTCAGAGCAGCGGCCACCCCAAGCCCCAAAGAAGCCACCTAAAGCTCCCCCACCCGTGGCCCGCAAGCCCTCTGGGGGGGTCCCATCACCCAGCTCCCCCGCCTTTCATCGGGCTGAGTCCCTTCCTCCTCCTCCCACCAACGGGCTCCATTCCGAGGACAGGACTAAGGGGGAACTGGCGGAGAATGGAAGTGTCGTGCAGCTGGTGGGCCCTGGGGAGCAGAAGCCGGGCCCGCCTGGCTCAGGTACGGTGGACAGTGTGTGTGTGGGGGGGGAGGAGGGCACCCATCACTGGTGATGGGAAATAGCTGTCTGAAGTCCCACTACTAGGGATTTGTTACTGGGGCTTTAAGATTTTTCTGGTCTCTGGCTCTGGGAAGGGTGAGCTGTCACCCTCGATAAGCTAGTGAAGCAGCGTGGTGTGTGGGACTTTGAAGTCAGACCTACTGGGTTCCAAATCCAACTTTGCCATTTTCTCTTTACGTTCTGGCCTTAAGTTGCTCACCGTAAAGTGCAGGGCAGTGGTGCCCACGTGAGCGTGCTAGAGGTACTGTTTGTAAAGCATCCAGCTGGTGCTATGGGTGGCTGGTCAGTTGAGGGGGTGAGGATGTGCTTGGGGCATCCAGAACCAAGCTGGGAGGCCCCATGCTGAGCGTCCCTTTCTCCCCCCACCCCCTGCAGACCCACAGAAAGAGCTGGTCTGACCACCAGGCACCTTGCTGGCACTGCTGACCCATCCCAGGAATACAATCTCAGGGACCTGAGCAGCTCCAAGGACGAGAGGATACGGCAGACACTTCATCTAGTAGGGAGGATGCCTGCAGCCTTAACCTTCACAGCCTTCGATATTTATGCAAGCCTGGTGTTGATCTGTCCTCCAAGTCATCCAGCTCCTGCCTCTCCCTGCGCCCCCAATGGATTTCCCTCTGGCAGCTGCTGCTTGTCTTGGCCTTAGCCTCATTTTGAAGGAGGTAGCTAGTGGGAGCGGGTGGCTGCGCCCCCTGCTGGCCTCGAGGCCACACAGTTGGGAGCAGAGCACCTCACTTGTTTCTTTCCCTTGTCCCCCACCCCATGTTCAAATCATGCACATACTGTAGTCCAGAATCAAAGCACTTTTGAAAAGTGGCTGCATGTCCATCCTCCAGGGCCCGTGAAGCCACATTCCAGGGGCCTGTTTACATGGTAGCAGCATCAGTCCGCAGTAGCTGGCCCCTAGCTGGGACCAATCTGTCCCCTCCCTCCGATCCAGTGTGCCCATTCCTTAGTTCTTGGAGGTGGGCGAGTCACTGTATTCCCACAGGCTTCTCCAGGCTGGAGGCAGGAGCGGGGCTGTGGAATTCCAAAGCACAAAAGGTGCAGCAGGGGTTAGCCCTCTTGTGCCTCAACTTACCAACCACCCTCCTTGCCTTCCAGTTTTGCCAGGTGCTCCATGTGGGGGACAAGTGGGAGACTGCCAGGGCCTGGGTGGGGATGGGGGAAAAGAACCAGGTGTCTCCGGAGAGTAGGAGAATGGAATAGGGAGACATCTCAGTAGACACTTTGGTGATGCCAAACATCCGCCCCTTGTTTCACTTGTACAGGTTGGGGTGGGCAGGCGGGCACAACACTTCAGAGCCCATGGGCTGTGGCAAAGCTGTGTCCTTTTCAGCTGGGCAGGAAGTCCTGAGGAGGTGGGTGGAGGGGTCTGGCAAGGGGAGTGCTTATTTGGGCAGTGGGCCCAGACCTAGCCCTATAGATTACATTCTGTGACCTTTCTCTTTACTTGGTGCATGTTCTTTCTGCAGCTGCCTTTCAGCGCAGGTGGTTTCACAGGGGGGAGCTGACACTGAGTGACAAGGATGGGAAACCAAAGGTGCACTCTATTCCAGGCTCTTCCCTAGTCCGTGTGTGTGGGGGTGTTCAGTGCTCCTAGGGAGCAGGCTGAGTGATTGCCCCCTAGCCATCAGCCTCTGCTACTGATCTCTCCTCTAGGAATTTTAATGACCTATTTTCAGCCTGTGCCACCTATCTAGGTAAGCTGACTTCCCCACTGGCCCTGGTACCTCCCTCCACAGTCGTGTGGCTGCCACCAGGGTCACCCCTTCTGTCTTGATCCTCTTTCCTCAACAGTGACTTGGGCTTGAGCCTGGCAAAGAACCTCACTTTTAGCTGCTTCTCTGGAGAGACTGAACCCCTCCCAGAACAAGAGCTGGGAATATAGGGGATGTGGTACGAGAGCCCAGGTCCCTCTGGCCCTCCCTCATGACTGTCTTCTCCCTGTAGCTGTAAACCAAGGCTGCTCCCTTGCCCCGTGGGTTAGGGAGAGCCACTCCTGGGTAATTGTCACACCTGCCCAGTGAGCTGGGGAAAGAGGATAGTCCGTATGCATGGCTCTGTTCAGAGCTCCTGACCAAAACCCCTGGGAGCCAAGACCAGGTTGAAGACTCCATGAAACCAGGCCCTGGCAGCAGCCCTGTAGCTGCTGGAGGTAGGAGGGAGCCCAACTTCTGTATTTCTTTCCCTCTCCTGCCCTCTCAATGTTACTTGAGCTCCTTATCCTCAGCTAGAATCTTCTGAGCTTGTTTCCCCACTGGGTGGGACAGAGTACAAAGGAGAAGGGAGGATCTAAAAGAGGCAGCCCTTCTTTGTCCTCTGGGGTAAATGAGCTTGACCTAGTGCAAATGGAGAGACCAAAAGCCTCTGATTTTTAATTTCCACAAAAATGCTAGAGAGAGAAGTATATATATATATATTTCTTTAAATTTTTGAGTCTTTGATATGTCTATACAAACAATCCATTCCCTCTGCCCTGAAGCCTGAGTGAGACACATGATAAAGCTCTCTGTGTGTTTCATTCGAAGGTGTTAATTAAATGATTAAAACTCGGCTGTGGTTTGCTGCTGCTTAACTGGAGAGGGACAGGGGTTGGGAAAATGTTCTTTCTGCCTGCTCTAAGTACTGGACCCCAAAATGGGCCTCTTCTGCTTTTTCTTTTTTTGAGAGAGAGAATATCTTAAGCAGGCTCTGTGCTCTAGGCATGGAGCCCAACGCAAGGCTTGATCTTACAACCCTGGGATCATGACCGGAGCCCGAAATCAAGTCTGGTGTTCGACTTAGCCACCCAGGCGCCCCAGGCCTCTTTTATCGTCGAAGGAAAAGTCAGTGTCTGTGATCCATCCAATTCATCACAGTCCCTGCTCCTGCTAACATTACAGGGTCAAAAGTCCAAGATACAAGCAGCCTATGCTGGGTGAGGGGCCCGGCAGCTGCTCCACACTTGTGTTTCTCCCTCCTGAGATGGTCCAGCTCACAGTCCCCATCCAGACACTCTTGTTCAGACAGTTTATTTGAATTCATGACAGTGATAGTGATTCTGATTGATGCCTTATGGAGAAGTACCCCACCCTCTCTGAAGAAAGATTCAGGCTGCACATCTGCCCTACTTCTGATATTAACCCACAGCTGGTTTAGGGAATGTCTCAACCCAGCAGGATCAAGGGAAAAGAATCACAGGAGCCCCAGGGCAGGCCCTGCCCCCAGTGCCAAGCCTCAAGCCTCAGGGTTGGCAGGCACTGGGGAAAGCTGCCCACCACTTGGTAGACCACTAGGTTCTCTGTCTTCCCCTCCCTTTCCTTTTTGAATCCCACAATTTCCTGTTGGGGAAAGGCTGTAATTACCCCAGTTCAGGCACCAGATCCCAGACAGAGGCACAGCTGCTGGGATAACTCTAGGAAAACATGGGAACCAATATTTTTCCAATTAGAAGGACTGTGGCAGAAACCTTTTCTATGAGTTATATTGAAACCAGGTTTCTCCAGTCAGCTGCCAGGGGAAGAAGGTAGAGCTGGACTCCCTGCTGCTGCCCCGACCTCAATACTACCCAGGAGATCAGTGGCTCACCACAGCAGCCCCGACAGGATGTTTCTGGATTCTGGGGAGATTGAGCTGCCGCTTACTGAGTTCCACACCTAATAAAGTCCCAAACTTCCTGCTTTGGTGTCCTGGGAGATGGGGAAATGGGGTGAAGAAGGACGGAGCAAACTGAGACAGCAGATGACTCAGGGTGACAGGAGAAGGGAGCAGGATGCTGGATTAGCTAGCTGATGTTCCCTCCTTTCAGTGATTTACAGGAGACGCACCCCAGCTTGGTCATGAAGTTGGTTTGCTTCCACTGTGCAATGCAATCCTCAGAGGTTTTAAAATCAGCCTGCACAAAAAGAAACAAAAGCAGTGAATGTGGTGGCCACGGGGCTGCAGGAGAGCAGGCTCTTACGCTCCAGTGGTGCGGACAGACCTGCTGGACAGACTGAACTGCTCTGCCAGTGGCTCACCATGGTCTCTCAGATCCAAACAAGCACATCTGAGGCATTTAGTTTAGGAAAACAGTCTCGAGTAAGTGCAAAGAACTATGTATCAAGATATCTACTGAATAGTGAAAACCTGAGAACCTCAGTGTCTTACATTAAAGATAAAATAATTTTGTTACATTATGGTAATTATGATATAATACTATGCAATCAGATCCCCCCTCTCAGTGTTTAAGAAGATGGGGAAGTTTTTCTGGCATCAAGTTAAATAAAAAAATAAACTTATAGCAGGACTCAAAGTATAAATACATTACTTCCATACATAGAGTCCACAAAGAAATCCTCACTGATGCTATTTTCTGGTACCTCTAGGCAGCAGGACTATGGATATTTTGTTTTCTTCATGTCCCCTATATTTTGGACATTTCTGCATGGGAAATTTATTTTATAGCCAGATAAAATAAATGATTCAAAAAAGCAGCCTGGAAATGTAGTAAAGAGGGAATGGATAAAACCACCAGCCTGCCACATGCAGGAGGACAGTGGTAGAAAGCACTCTGAACACCTCCCAGAAACACCTGGCTGAGCGAGGATGTGAGGGATTAACTAGGGAAAGCCACAGGTGTAACGTTAGTGCCACGAGGACAGTGAACTGTTGTAGTTTTATTCCCTGATGCAGCCTGAACCCCTAGAGTGATAGCTGCCCCATCTATCGGGCTCAGTATCTGTGGGAAGAAGGAACACATTCAGGGGTCCCAGGGACGGGCTGTATGTGAGTCCATGCCCCAGAGGGCAGACAGAGAATGAGTGCTCTAAGATCAAGGTGGGCGGGGGGATCCCGGCTCCATCACTTCTGGTGACCCTGTGTGGCCTTGGCCAGTATCCTGCCAGACAAAATAGGGATAATCCTCTGATCATGGACTGAGGATCAGAAGAGGAAATGTCTAAGTCCCTCACACCCCCTCAAATAGTCTATCCACTCTCAGTAGGTGCCAGAGCTCCCATGCTCTGCAGGCACCTCCTCTAGAAAGGTCTGGACTCAGGAAGGGAGGGGCTTAGAGGCAGGAAAGCCCAGCATGGGAGCAAAGGCCATGGTGGACTCAGTAGCAAAGCAGTCTGGGGACACAGCACAGGTGGCCCAGGCAGGAGCCAGGGCATTGCCATCTACTTACCTGCAACTTCTCAAAGACTTTCTTCTTGGGCTTGAGCTCTTCATCTGGTTGGCCCTTCTCATAGCCCTTCACAAACACTCGTTCCCCAGGAGCAGAGCCTGCAGGAGGGTCCAGAGGCTCAACTTTGCGGTTTACTCCTTCCCTGAGAAGACACACAGGACGAGGACACGGTGAGGCTGTGGACTGCCCACAGCCGCCCTGGAAGCCAAGGTATCAGGGCCTGCATGGAGGGGCCACAATGCCGGAGGCCCAGGAGATCCTCAGCACTGAGTTACATTTCTGGACGGTATCAGTGCTGCCTTGACCCTCTGTTGGGAGAGATACCAAAATCTGGGCTTTTGGAGGAGGAAGTAGGACAGAACAGAGACAGCAAGGCCCAGACAGCTAGTCAGAATTAGGTTTGACTCCTGGCTCCATCTCTCACTGGTAGAGGGACTTGGGCATGCACATACTGCTTTGAGCCTTCAACTTCCGTCTTAATAAAACTGACTTTGGGTAAAGTGCTTCACGCACAGTACTTGTACAATAAATAATTCCTTCATGCATCATCTTTTGGATAGTGCTCGCAGGGTTTCCACTTGGCGCATGGAAGGGCACCATGTAGGCTGATTCCCTCATCTCCCCCCACACCCCCTTCTTGCACTCTGCCCCAAGTTCTCACTTACATAGAGGCACAAAGAAGCATGCCTTGGGACTCGATGCCTCTCATCTTCTGGGGTTTCAGATTGCACAGCACCACCACCAGCCTATCCTGCAATTCCTCCTTGGGCACAAACTGTACCAGGCCGCTCACGATAGTCCGGGGTTCAGCTTCTCCCACATCAATCTTCTCCACATACAGGCTGTCTGCATCTGGGTGCTGCCAGCAAGAGACATTAGTCCCAGACAGTGTCATATGGAATGGATCACGGGTGGGGCCCGATGAGCCCTCTGACTGCTGAAGTGGGCGTCCATTCCTCAGCAGAGGCTCCTAAGGGACCCTCTGGGGCAAACTCTTTCCAGGTCCCGACGACAGTAGAATGGGTTGTAAAAGTACATTTTAGTCTCCACCAAGAGGCAGGCTTTGAGTAGAATGAGGTGTGCAAGGAGTGTCCTCCAGGGGTGAAGACAGGCCTGGACTGTCTGGGTGGCTACATGCTGCGCCAGCCTGGTGGATGGGTGGGGGACAACGCTGGCCGCACCATCTCAAAGAGCACTGGCAGCTATCTCAAGGTTGTTTCAGTAGTTGGGTCTACACAGTGAAAAACATTGCTGAGAGAGGGAAAAAAAGCCACAGCAATGGTCCCAGGTTACATAACCTTCTGTCTCTGGGAAAAAGGAAGTCCCTTCCCCATTTTCAGGGGTGGGTGGGATGGGACAGGGCGACAAAGTGCTCATCCAAGATAAGGCCTGCAGCTAAGTCCAGACAAACTGGTAGAGACCAGAGGAGTCTATGGGACCGGATTTAGCGGATAAGCAAGCTCCCTCTGACTAATATCTTCCCCCTCTATGAGTTCCTGGCTGTGGTTGGTTGCATAAGGTCCAGAGGCAGCAAAGGGAAAAGCCTGATACCTGGGGTTAGGCGCCTATGTTCTGACTTGCAATATGACCTCGGGGATGTTACTTCCCATCCCCGGCCAGGTTTCCTCCAGACGGAAACAGACAAATGTGACCCCTATCTGCCTCTCTGGGATGTGATGAGAAATGAGTACCTTGTCCACACTGATGACTTTCCCCACACGGATATCCAGCCGGGATGGGATGACCTCCTCTGGTTCTGAATTTTTGGCAAGGCCTTTGGCAACTGGCTCTGGGAATGAGAAGAACCCGAGGGGTCAGAACTCTCCTCCTTCACCATGACAGGTCAACCGCTGAGCCCACCCAATGAGGACACCAGCAGGGGTTTAGCGCAGAATGCCCAAAACATACCCATTTACTTATTAACTTACTTTACTTATTTAAAGATTTTATTTATTTACTCATGAGGGACAGAGAGAGAGAAGCAGAGGCACAGGCAGAGAGAGGAGCAGGCTCCATGCAAGGATCCCGATGTGGGACTCAATCCCAAGTCTCCAGGATCAGGCCCTGGGCTGAAAGCGGGCACTAAACTCCTGAGCCACCCGGGCTGCCCCAGAACATACCCCTTTAGTTATATTTTCTTTTTTTCTTTTTAAAATAATCTCTACACCCAATATGGAGCTCATACTTATGACCCCAAGCTCAGGAGTCATGGGCTTTTACCAAATGAGCCAGCCAGGTGCCCCTAGTTACATCTTTAAAACAGGATCAGCAACCTTTTAGAAGTGACATGCCAGATTTTCATCTATTCTCTCCCTCAGTTATTAGCTGGAGAGGAGGGAAGAAGAGGGATGGTAGTAGTTTTGCTACCTTTAGGTATTTCCATTCATGCACTCCACATACATTTTTCGAGTCTGGAAGGTCACACAAAACCATCAATGTTAATATCTCAGCATCATGGATAAGTGGATGGTTAACTAAGAGCCACTCAGAAGCATATGGAAAGGTATTAGACAAAGCTAAAGATGAGCTTCCCTAAGGAGCTGTACAAGCTCTGCCTGAACAGCTGTGTTACCTCATGGTCTAACCCAGCTGGTCTCTAACCAAAGAACATTTAGTGAAGCATCACAGTATGTATCTCACACCAGGAGACTTCATACAACAGGATGTAATCACTTCACAGTATCGCCTAGACCTAGATCAAGATGACTCAAGTTCCATTCCAGGAGTTAATGGGGTAGGATATCCTTGCACTTCATGCCCCCTGGCTTCTAGGGCTCTCAGTTTGAGACCGATCTTTCCCTGAAGCCCACTGACAGGCTCTCTGTCTGATGTCATGCACCCCTTGGCCCTTCCCCGCACCCTGGCTGGCCTTACTCTGCTTCGAGGGATCTGGGTAGGCAGCACTGGCCAGTTTCTTCAGTGCAGGAGTATTAAACTTTTCCCGGATAGGATCCAACAACTTGTTCAGGGCGACTTCGACAGAATTCTTGAGGTCTCCAGGGTGTACAACCTGCAGAAGTGTACAAAGGCCCAGTGGAAGGAGGCATCGGAGTGGGGCACAGGACATCTGAGTCTACTAAAGATAATGTGTATGTAGAGTACAGGCTATTGATCCTCAGAATCACCCTAGGAAGCTGACAAAGCCAAGAGGGGGGAAAAAAGTTTAGGAAGATTATTTTACCTGTCTGAGATTTAGGTTTTTTGACTCTGAATTCCATACTAAATTGAGGATTTTTACTTTATTTTTTTAAAGATTTATTTATTTGAGAGAGAGAAAGAGAGAGAGAGCGCATGCAGGGGCAGAGGGAGAGAGTGAATTTCAAGCAGCCTCCATGCCCACTGTGGAGCTCCATCTCATGACCCGGAGATCATGACCTGAGCCAAAGTAACTTGAATGTTTTTATTAATCAAATTATTCTAGTCCCTCCATTCATGCTTAGAGTAGTGGCATAAACCAGGTATCATTTGCAGGTGGAGAAACAGAGAGGCAACCCCAGGAGACAGCCTGGGGGGTAGCTAAGTAAGTGAGAAGAGCGAGCAAGTGCGTTGGAGTTGAACCAGGGTTAGAGTCCCTGCTAGCTGTGTGACCCCTGGACCAGGCACTTAATAACCTTCTAAGCTTTAGAGGGTTATTAAGATGCTTTACTTAAGAACTGAAGAGAATATCTATACCTCAGAGACTCAGAATGAGGATTCAATCCCACAATGTGGGTAAATATGGTGAGTGATTCTAGTGCGTGGTAGGAGCTTAGCAATTCAATTTTTCTTGTGTCCTGTGACTAGTACTTTTATACTTTTCAAATCTTCCCTGAAAGGCTCTGCTAGATATTCTAAGGGGTATCTCTTAGCCATGAATACCTGTAATACAACAGTGCCTACATTTTAGTTTCTGATGATATTCCTTCATTTCCTTAGGAATTTTTTTTTAAAGATTTTATTTATTCATTCATTCATTCATTCATTCATTCATTCATTCATTCATTCATGAAAGACACAGAGAGAGAGAGGCAGAGACACAGGCAGAGGGAGAAGCAGGCTCCACGCAGGGAGCCTGATGTGGGACTCAATCCCGGGCCTCCAGGATCATGCCCTGGGCCAAAGGCAGGCTCTAAACCGCTGAGCCACCCAGGGATTCCCCCTTAGGAATTTTAATAATAGAAAAGCTTTAGGCCTCCTCTGTCCAGTATGATAGCCACTAGCCTCATGTGGCTATTTATTTATTTATTTTTATGTGGCTGTTTAAATGTAAACTACAATTCAGTTCCTCAGTTGCCCTGGGCACATAGTAAGGCTTACCTGCCACACACAGCCAGTGGCACCTATGTGACACAGCACATACAGAACATGTCCACTGTCACAGAAAGTGCTACTGGCTAGTGCTATTTCAGGCTTTTTCAGATATGTTTCTTCTATCCTTCTTATTATTCCAATAAATGACTAGCCAGTAGCACTTTCTGTGACAGTGGACATGTTCTGTATGTGCTGTGTCACATAGGTGCCACTGGCTGTGTGTGGCAGGTAAGCCTTACTATGTGCCCAGGGCAACTGAGGAACTGAATTGTAGTTTACATTTAAACAGCCACATGAGGCTAGTGGCTATCATACTGGACAGAGGAGGCCTAAAGCTTTTCTATTATTAAAATATGGGGTTTGTGGCCTGCCTCGGGCTGGAGGGAGAGGATTTCAGAGCAATGGCTGTGAAAAACATCCAAAAAATAGGTCGCAGAGCTCATAGGTCTTTTCCTCTATTTGATGTTCAAACCCCCACACTAGGTTGCCTGCAGTGGGCTTCTGGTCTCTGCTTGAACACCTCAGTGATGAGGTCGCAAAGTTAAGTGAGGCAGTCCAGCTTGTTGTCATATGACAAAGGTCGCTGCACAGCTCTCCCTGATGTTGATTCTGAACATGCTTCACTATGGTCCCCACCTGTAGACCTGGCTTAGCCCTCTGGGGCCACAGGAAGAAACCCAACCCTTCTCCCATGAGTCGGTCATGTTATCTGAGGAGGACTGGACACAGGCCTGATTCCCAGCCAAACATCCCCAGTTCTTTCAACTGTGCTTCCGTGACAAGGGTTTTGGTCTATTCCCTATCACAGCCTCCTTCCTCTCCCCACCAACACACCCCAGACTATCAAATAAACCTCATAAAACTGAAGTCCAGGGCTGAAGGCACAACCCCAAATGTACTCACAACAGTCGAGAACTGAATAGACTATTGGCTCCCTGGTTCCAGACTCCACATTTCTGATGTCTTACACCAAGACTTAACATTTCTGACCATCCAATCACACTACTGATTCAACCCAAAGTCAGAGTCAACCAAAAGCCCCCATTCTAGTCCCCATATGCACCACTATCACATCTTCCCTTTATGACCTGGCCCTTCCTATCTTGCCCACAATAATTCATGCCTCACCTTTTAGATTCATGTCAGACCATGCCATTTTGCGATTCCACATCATGCTATTTCACCTTCTGTGTCTTTTGGATGTTGTCCCCTCTGCAAAGCTTTGCCGGACAGCCAGGTAATCAGTTCCTCCTATTTTACCTTTGGACTGTGTATACATCATCATCATACAGTCACACAGCAATACTATTTGTTTATATGTCTGCCTCTCTTTCTGGACCATGAGTTTCACAAGGATTTAATCCTCTGTAATGCCAGCACCTACCATGGTGCCTAACTCATGGGCACCTAATAGTTCTTTTGTGAAGCTGTCTGTTGAGATCAGCAGTATCCTCTATGCTGTCCTTTCCTAGATGTTTCTTTTTTAAACCTTGACTATGCACCTCTCCCTAAAATGGTTCATCTTGCTGGGTTTGGTCCTTCATTCCAGGTTAAATCCTTTGCAGAGTGAATAGGATACTAATATATTAGTTTTGTGCCATTTGCTTGCCTAACCTGTGAACCACCCAAATCCTCATTAAGCCATTACTCACAATACACAGCCCTGGAAAGCATCAAGCAGAAACTTGGGGCAGGTACTAGAAATCTGCCTAGGCCAAGAAGGAGAGGTCCATCAGAAGGAATTCAGTGGGGATTACGCCTCCTTTGGGATTACCTCATCAGCAAAGTCCTTTTCTAGGTCCAAGTAAACGGTATAGGTTTTGTTTCCACCCCATTTCTCATCTCGAAGGATCACAAACTCTGTAAGACAAAGGATCCATGCCAACAAACTCATCAATAATGGCAGAGTCAGCATTCCTAGCTCAATGTTATGGATATTTAGAGTTTTTGTTGTATATTTTAAACTTTATTATATGGCATTTTATTGTTCTTAAATCAGATGAGCTAGCAACCCAGCGGCATCCAAGCTCAAGGGAAAGGATCGTGCCTTACATTTCTTTCATATTTCTCTAATTCAGCATGCCTGTGCCCACCCTCATTTCTACAACCCCTGCCCACCCTATCACCCCACATAGAGTAACCCAGTGACAGTCTCATGGGCAATGAAATGATATCCCAACTGCAAGTGTACACTGGTGTATTAGAAGTCAGAGCACAGAATCAGGGAAGCCCATCTCTGAAGGAAGACTCCTAACAAACCACAAGTATGATCACAATACTAGTTTTGCTACTTTGGCCTGGCCTCTGGGAAGCAACCAAGGAGTGTCTTACCGGACTTGAGAGGAAAGAGGACATGCTTGATGAAAGACAAAACTCCATTGTTCTCCACATTCCCTGGCTCACAGAAGGCCTTCTTCAATTTTTTCTTCACATCTTCCTTCCGGTCTAGGAGATCAATCTTGGACTCCTAGAAGCCATGGAGGAGAAAGGACCTCTTATGGTGGGAAATGAGATAAGCTCAAATACTCTGTGTATTTTAATGTTTTTTTTTAAAATAGTTATACATTAACAACTTTAAAAAAAGCAGAATTAATCAGAGTCAAGAACCACTCACAACATTGCTAAAAATAATGATTTCAATGTTCCTGTGTTCTTCTAAGGCCTTCAACACAGAGCATTGTTACAAATTTATAGTTCTTACAAACTTCTAGTTGGAGAACAAATGTCTACCCTTTGCTTTTTCACTTGAGACTATATTGTAAGTATTTCTGAGTGGCTACCTAGTCTTTCCTTATAATTTTTATGCTGTATCATATTCCCAATTATTAGTGACAATATACTTTCTAAACTGTTAAATTATTTTCTAATTTTTGTAAACTATAAGCAATATTACAATGAACATCTCTGCAGAAGTTTTTTTGTTTTTGTTTTTGCTCTCTCTAGGATTCTTTCCTTAAGCTACCTAAAACTGCTAGGCCCAAAACTATTTTCTCAAAGGGGCATACTAATCGTTACTGCCCAAAACAGTGTGTGAGAGGACTTGCTACATGGCAACCCCCAATACCAGGTACTGTCTAGTATCTAGAGCCGTTCTCCCTTTCAGGGTAATAGGTATTGTTTCTTAGTTTGGAGTGAGTAAGCTCATGGTTCTTGGTGTTCAGTGGTTACCAAATTCTGGTCCATGTATGTTTGTATATGAATCATCTGGAGTGCTTTTAAAAAAATGTAAATCACTGGGAGATGACTCAAAATCTCTTGAGGCTGGGCCAGGAATCTGTATTTTTAAAAAGCTCTCTGAGTGATTCTGATGTAGTCATGTTCAGAAACTGCTACTAACTCTGATTTCCAGGGTTAACATACAGTGAATGTGACTAAATGGTGTGAGTGGTATGATAGTTTGTGAAAGAAATAACTAATACATGGAGCATTTTAACACAGAGAAAAACAAATGAGTATATTATTCTAAAAACTCTAAGTTTCCATGCATAAATTTACTGATCTCTGTTCAAAAAACTGAGAAGCCAGATTGAAAGAACTAGATGAACATCCAACCATGACTTTAATCAGAATCACCTGGTAAAATATGAAAGTAAATACAGATTCCTGATATTGTCCAGAACTACTTTATCAGAATCTCTAAAAACAGTCTAATCGATGTTGTTTTTTTTTTTTTTTTTTTTTTTTTTTAAATTCCCTAGGTATTTCTGAAGCTCAGCTGTGTTTGGGAGTCCAGAATTCAACCTTTCACATCTTTGGGTTCCACTAAGGCACCTATTCTGTACCCTTAGGGATCAAAACAAAAGTGTACTTTTCCTAAGCAAGACTTTTAAATGTTAAAAGATACTGAAAAAAAAAAAAAAGATATTGCAGTTATCATATTAGTTATGTCAAACATCACCTGAGAATTAAGATGCTATTTGGTAAAATGCAACCCTAGACTCATTAACCTCATTAAGAAGGCTGATTTTTATCACAGTTCTATGAATGAAGAAATTACTTTTGCTTGTGAGTTTTATCAGCAGCAATAAAACTGTTAAAATTATGATTGGATCCCATCAGGACTGCTTCTTGGTCCTTCAGTAGTCAAGAACCACTGAAATTAATTGGATGACTTTAGGTTCCTCGGAACTCAAATCTACAAGAATTCTAGTTAGCCGGGTGATTCTTCTTTCGAGCCCGCAATCTCTTCATCTCTTGCTGAAGATTTCTGAACTCAAGTCAGAGCTAGCAAACCCACCTCTTCTGAGGAACTCATTTTGCTGCCAGTTAATCCCGGAACCATAGGATTCATCAGATGGACCCGTTTTGAGTAGCCAAGCGCAGGGAGATACTGAGGAGTTAGAAAGAAATGCACAAACCAAGTATTAGTATAATTTTCTCCTCAGTGCTCCAATCTCATCTAATTTGGCCAGCAACTTAATAGTTTGATACAGTCCTTCCAATCTTTTTTTCTACCAAATATACAACCTTTCCTTCTTTCTTTTTTAAAGTTTCTTTTTAAACTTAGTTAACATACTGTATAACATTAGTTCAGGAGTAGAATTTAGTGATTCTGCACTTCCATACAATGCCCGGTGCTCATCACAAGTGCCCTCCCTCCTTAATCCCCATCACCTATTTCACCCCTCCCCTACCTCCTTCCCCTCTGGTAACCAGCAGTTTGTCCTCTATAGAGTTAAGAGTCTGTTTCTTGGTTTGCCTTTTTCTCTTTTTCCTCCCTTCATTCATTTGTTTTGTTTCTTAAATTCCACATATCAGTGAAATCATATGGTATCTGTCTTTCTCTGAGTGACTTATTCTGCTTAGTTAGCACTATACTCTCTACCTCCGTCTGTGTCATTGCAAATGGCAGGATTTCATTCTTTTGTGTGTATGTGTGTCTGAAAAATATTCCATTGTGTTGAATATACAACCTTTTGATGGTGTATATATAAGGTTAGGGACATCTCGGTGGCTCAGTGGTTGAGCGTCTGCCTTTGGCTCAGGTCATGATCCTGGGGTCCTGGGATGGAGTCCTACATCAGGCTCACTGCAGGGAGCCTGCTTCTCCCTCTGCCTATATCTCTGCTTCTCCGTGTGTGTCTCTCATGAATAAATAAATAAAATCTTTAAAAAATTATTTTTTTCTCAACTGCTTTTCTATTAGTATTACAGTGTGATTTTTACATTACGATAGATTTACTCTGCCACCAGAAACAACCATAAAAGGTAAGGTGGAAATATATAAAATGACCATTTGCAGGCATTCAACAGCAATAGGTGTACAACTATAAATCTTGACAGGAGGGAAAGCAAAGGTGACCCACACTCACCCTGACTTTCTCCTTGAGGGCTCTTTTCCCAAACCAGGTGTTGAGAAAAAGAGAATAGATGTCTGATGAAGCAGAGGAGACAGAGATTGGGGTTCAGGGCTCCCAGGAGGCTAGGATTTGGGAAGGGTTCCAGAGTGAAGTGAGCACCTTACCCCCAAATCTAAGTCAAAACTCCCCACTATTTCTGTGCTCATAGCTATGTGTGCATACAGAAGGATGCCAGGGAGTCTAGCAGATAACAGGTGCTGGGAGGCTGGAGATCTGCACAGAGATTTTATTTTATTTTATTTGCACAGAGATTTTAAACACCATATAGTGCTGGGGAAACAGAGGTTGAAGTTTAGATCCACTCAGAGTGGAGAGGTCTTTGTGAACACCCTAAGATTTGGGTTTGAGACTCCAGAAAAGTCATATAACAGGAATACGGACCACATCACAGGAGGAAGGGCAAAATTGAAATAGACCTGTTCTGACAAAGCCTAGAACCAGCCCCATGACAGGATCAAGGGGATAAGGCAGTAATTTAACAGTCTACAGAAAGCACAGCACACTATAAACATAATCCAGAGTCTCTACAACATATCTACAATGTCTTTGATAAAAAAAAAATATTAGAAACGAGAAACAGAAAATAATGGCTGATAGTTAAAACAGTCAATAAAAGCAGACCTAGGAATAATCCAGATATTGGAATAAAGATCATAAAAAAGATCTATAAATAAAGATCTATAAAAGAGAAGCAACTGGAAGCTCTAAAATGGCACGATATGATTTAACAGAGGACAGGATTGGTGAACTTGAAGAAATGTCAGTAGAGAATAATCAAACTAAAGCACAGACAGGACAAAAAAAAAAAAAAAGGGAAACAACAGAATATAAGAGATGTGTGGGACATAGTCAGGAGGTCGACCCTATGTATAATTAGGGTCCCAGGGCAGGAGAGAGAATATGACAGAAGCAATATTTAAGGAAATAATAGGGGACAATTTCCCAAAACTGCTGAAAACACTCAGGAAGCTCAGCAAAATCCAAGTAGGATAAATACCAAGAAAACTATATCCAAGAACACCATAGTCAAATTGCTGAAAATCAGAGACAAAATGCTAAGAACAGCTGGAGAAAAGCTGTATTATCTATAAAAGAGACACAATAATATTTACAGGTGATTTCTCAATGAAAACTAAGGAAACCAGAGGCAATGGGATAGCTCTTTAAAGTGGTAAAAGAAAAATAACCGCCAACCTAGAATTTGATATCCAGGGAAAACAAAAGAAAGATGTTTTCAGACAAAAGATAGCTGAAAGAACTCATTATTTATGACCCGTGCTACCAATGGCAATATTGGGGCAGAGGGGAGGAGGCATTCTTTAGGTTGAAGGAAAATGATCCCAGATGGAAGCCCAGAGCCACTGGAGTGCTGGAAGGAGTCAAGAGTACCAGGAAAGGTGAGTAGGACTAAGTATACATGAAAATTGATTGTTTAAAAAGGAATTTATAATAAAGTCTTGGGACTTAAAATACATGTAAAAGTGAACTATATGACAATAGCACAAACAGCAAGAAGGACTTAGAAAAAATTGTAGGTTTTTACATCATTGAGATGTGGCAAAAATATCTAATTTAAACTATAACACATTACAAAGACCCATGTTGTAATCTCTAGAGCATGGGTGGGCAAACTTTTCTGTAAAGGACCAAATAATATTTTAGACTTTGGGACTTGGCGCACACATGGTTCCTCCATACACACACAAACCATTCTTAGAGCTTGTGAGTTTCACAAAAACAAACCATGGGCCATCTCTGCTAGAATAATAAAAGTAGATTCAACTAAAAAGTTAACAGAGGAGGGCAGCCCAGGTGGCTCAGAGGTTTAGCGCTGCCTTCAGCCCAGCACGTGATCCTAGAGACCCAGGATCCAGTCCCACTGTCAGGCTCCCTCTTGGGAGCCTGCTTCTCCCTCTGCCTGTGTCTCTGCCTCTCTCTCTCTCTCTCTCTCTCTCTCTCTATCTATCTCTCATGAATAAATAAATAAAATCTTAAAAAAAAAAGTTAACAGAGGAGATAATACGAAATACTTAATCAAAAAATTTACATTTTAAGCATTCCTCATTCGTTAAATATACCCCAACACCATAAGCCAGTCAGAAAAAGATATGATCTCACTCATGTGGAATTTAAGAAAAAAACAAAGTAGCAAAGGGAAAAAAATATATATATATAGAGAAACCAAGACATAGACTCAACTCTAGAGAACAAACTGATAGTTACCAGAGGGGAGGGGGATGAGAGGATGGGGGAAATAAGGGATAGGGATTAGACGCACACTTGTCCTGATGAGCACTGAGTAATGTAAAGAACTGGTGAACCAGTATATTGTACACCTGAAACTAATATAACACTGTATGTTAACTATACTGGAAATAAAATTAAAACAATAAAAAGAAAATCCAAAAGCCATTTAAAAAATACTATATAACATTTCATTGTGATGAGTTATCATAACATATATCATTTAACAATCCCTTGCCATTGGATGTGGGTTTATTTCTAGATTTTTAAAAAAGATTTTAAGTATTTTTTCTTTTTTTAAGATTTTATTAATTTATTCATGAGAGACACAGAGAGGGAGAGAGGGAGAGACACAGGCAGAGGGAGAAGCAGGCTCCATGCTGGGAACCCAACGTGGGACTTGATCCTAGGTCTCCAGGATCACGCCCTGGGCTGAAGGCGGCACTAAACCGCTGAGCCACCTGGACTGCCCAAAAGATTTTATTTTTAAAAAGACTTTATTTTTAAGTAATATCTATACCTAGTGTGGGGCTCAAACTCATAAGCCTGAGATCAAGAGTTGCATGCCTTACCCACTGAACCAGCAAGGCATCCCTATTTCTAGATTTTACCTTTAAACTGATAATGTGATAAAATACTTTCATACATAACTGAAGTTGCACTTTTAAGATTATGTCCTTAGCACCAATTTGTATAATTATTATGGCAAACTACCCTCCAGGAATTGACATTTCCGCTAACAGTGTTTTCTCCATACTCTTGCCAAAATGAGGTTTTGAGAAGCTTTCAGAAATAACAACCATTTCTCAGTAGCCCTTTCTAACTTACTCAAGTTCTTCCCCCAAAAAGAACTATTAAGGGTATGCTCTGATTTCCTCCTTTAAACCTTGTTAAAGGGCAGCCCCAGTGGCACAGCAGTTTAGTGCAGCCTGCAGCCCAGGGTGTGATCCTGGAGACCAGGGATCGAGTCCCACGTCAGGCTCCCTGCATGGAGCCTGCTTCTCCCTCTGCCTGTGTCTATGCCTCTCCCTCTCTGTGTCTCTCATGAATAAGTAAATAAAATCTATAAATCAATCAATCAATCAATCAATCAATCAATCTTGTTAAAGAGTTTCTCAGAAATGAGTGGTTTATGTGAGATCCAGAGCAATACGGACTGAATGCTCTGGGAAAGGCCAGTAGTTCTAACTGGTGGTCCTTGTCCCTAGAAATTGTTATTAGGAAAGAGCAAATCCAATAGGTCTGGGGACAGCTTCCTAGTAGCAGCAAGAGCATGGGCTTTTGAGTTAGATAGGTTTGAGTGCTAATTTCTGCTCAGTCACTAGCAGGGTGACAATTGACAACTTTCTTTCTTGACACTTAGTTTTCTAGTCTGCAAAACAGGGAGAACAATACCTGCCAAACAATATAGTTATGAGTAGTGGGACTGGCATATTCAAAAAAATTTAATTGCATACCCGAGGTACAAAAGGAAAAAATATAGGAAAGAGGATACGTACCTTCTCTGCAAAGGTAAAAATCTTTCTCTGATCAACACCTCCAAATTGGGCATCTACTTTCAAATACTCTTCATCTAATGCCTGTGGAAAAAAACACATGAGCATAAACTCCTACTGTATTTCTTCTATATGGATCTGAGATACCAGAAAGTTTTGAAAATCATACTTTTTTTTTTTCTCAGAAAGTAGAGCCAGGAAGCAAATAAAGTAGCATTCAGCCTCCTTGTAGGCCTCAAGAGTGGCATAAACATTTGCTGAGTGCCTGAGGTGAACCGTACTCCATGTAGATGTCATGGAGGAAAACGTTAACAGCCCCTGCCTTCAGGAAGCTCACAGCGTAGTGGGGCAGGGAAGGAAGAAGACACACCATAGTCATGTCAAAGGTACCCAGCGAATAAGGCAGCCTGTGACAAATGTCAAATAATGGCATAAGAGGGCCCCCTGGGTGGTTCAGCTGGTTAAGCATCTGCCTTCGGCTCAGGTCATGATCCCAGGGTCCTAGATGGAGCCCTACATTGGGCTCCCTGCTCCTCAGGTAGCCTGCTTTTCCCTCTTCCTCTGCCCCCTCTTGTCCTCTCTCTCTCTCTTTCTCTCAAATAAATAAAATCTTTTTAAAAAGTGGCATAAGAAGAATGTGCTGTGAGAGCTCAGAAACAAAAAGCAAGACTAAACTGGTAAACAAACAGGTATTATCACATACTACATTCCAGGCCTAGTGCCAGCCCTTTGGATGCAGAGTTGAATTGGATCCAAACTCAGCCTTCAAGAAGCCCATTACTCAGTTGAAAAAAGAGGCATATAAACATAATTTCAGTACAGTGTGTAAAGGGCTATCCTAGATGTTCATTTAATGAACAGTGCTAGTAGCTGGTCAGATAGGTGGCAGTGAAGGCTTCCTGGAATCAGACTGTGGGCTGAGCTTGGTTTTGAAGAATATATAGATGTTTTTCACCATGGAGAGGAAACAGATGTCAGAAGGCAGGGAGGTGTGAAATGTTTAGGGAAATTATGAGTGATTTAGTATGCAAAAGCACAAATGTCAGCGGATGGAGGAAGTGGTTAGTGAAGGCATCAGAGAAGTAAGGATCCTGAATACCACACTAGGGTGTCTAGCATCATCCTGGCCCACACTGTAGAAAGATCATACCAATAAGAGGGCAGGGCACAGAGTGGAGGCCTTTGGACTGGAGACAAAGAGAACGGTGAGGAGGCTGCTGTGAGTCCAGGTAAGAAACGATGCAGAACGATGTCAGTGGGGATGGAGAACAAGAATATATGTAAGAGATTTTAAAAGTAGAATTAATAAGATTTCATGTCTGATTGAATGGAGGGGAGAGGAAGAAGGAGAGGAAGAGAAAGGTGAGCAAGCAGGAACAATCTAGAAGAGCACTGTCCACTAGAATATTCTGGAATGATGAATATGTTCTCTATGTCTGTGCTGTCCCAATAGGTTAGCCACTAGGTGCATGTGGCCTGTGAACACTTGAAATATAGCCAATGTGACTGAATCCTAAAAATTTTAATTGTAATTATTTTTAATAGCCATATATGACCATAACTAGAGGAGAGGCTGCCATAGGGGACAGTGCAGATCTAAATGTCTCCAGGCTTAACACATAGAAAGCTCTTTTGTAAGTGATAAGGGAAGACTTGATATTCTTATACCAAATATATTTTTTAAAAAGTTTGTTTGTTTATTTATTTATTTATTTGAGAGAAAGAGAGAGTGTTTGTGCTCAAGTGGGAGAAGCAAAGGGAGAGGGACAAGCAGACTCTCTGCTGAGCATAGAGCCTGATACAGGGTACCATTCCATGACCCTGAGATCATGATGTGAGCCAAAATCAAGAGTTGGATGCTCAACTGACTAAGTCATCTAGGCACTTCTCTTATACTAAACATTATAGAAATACACAAAGAGGGGCACCTGGGTGGCTCAGTCTGACTCGGTTTTGGCTCAGGTCATTATTTTCGGGTCATGAGATGGAGCCCTGCATTGGGCTCCAATATGGAGTCTGCTTGAGGATTCTCTGTCCTTTCTCTCTATCCAGCCCCCCACTTGAGAGTGCACATGCTCTCTCTCTCACATACACAAATAAAAAATCAAAAAAAATATATACAAAGAAAAAACTAAGTCTATTATCATTTTTGTCCTACCTTTTTTTTTTTTTGTCCTACCTTTTGAGCTAGTAACCAGTATTAACAACTTGGTTTGAATTTTTCTATCTTCTCCTTGCTCAACAAATACACATGAAATATGATATATTTTGTTTAATGGAAAATAGGATACCTAAAATATATATACTTTTTGTTAAAGATTTACTTATTTTAAAGAGAGACAGAATATGCCTGTGGGGTGTGTGTGGTGAAGGGAGGAACAGAGGGCGAGAAAGAAAATCTCAAGCAGACTCCCCACTGAGTGTGGAGCCTAATGCGGAGCTCGATCTCATAACCCTGAGATCATGACCTGAGCCGAAATCAAAAGTCAGCTGCTTAACTGAGCCACCCAGGCACCCCACCAAAAATTTATCTTTACACATCACTCTGAAATTTTCTTCACTTCAGAGATCATGATCAATATAAAGAAGAGGTGTGACGTTGCACAGCATTCTCTGGGAGAACTGGCTTCCATGTGTGTACTGTATTCTGCAGACATGAAACAAACAAATCCATTTACTATTTATGTGTAAATAGCCTGGTTATCAGGCCATTTTCAGCCAATAGTCACATCCAGTGTACCTTTGCACAAAAGACTTAAGGTGTGGTGTGCCAGTATGATCTGTAAATAACTGGTGTGAATTCCGTGTATACCTATGTAAATACATTTGTTAACTGAAATGAACATAAAGAAAATATAAAATCTGGGGGCACCAGGCTGGCTCAGTCAGTGGAAGGTGTGGCTCTTAATCTCAGGGTTGTGAGTTCAAACCCCACATTGGGATATAGGGTTTACTAAAAAACAAAAAACAACAACAACAAAAAAAACCGAAAACATAAAATCTGCAAATAAGCTGATTTATAAATTAAAAAAAAGATGTGTGAGACGAGCAGTGTTTTAAAGGGCAGATAGATAGGGGAGGACCTACAGCTGAAGAAGTCAAAAGGCTTGCCAGAAAGGGGAAGGGAGGGAGACCAGAAGGCCTGCAGCACAGGGAAGGAACAGCAAGTACCTGGGCTTCATTACAACTGAGAGACCGATTTGTGACCCGTGGTTAGAAACAGAGCAGAAAAGGTCATTGGGCAACTCCACCCCTCCTGAGTACCTGTAATCCGGGGTACAGCAGACCACTCAGCAAAGGGTGCTCCACCTGCTTTACCACCTCAGCCCCAGCTTTCTTGGCATCGTGCTGTGTGACCACGGAGGAGAGTCTGTACACATCTAGCGTGTACTCTCTGAAGAGGAAAGGAAGTGGGGAAGGCGTGAGACTGGGCCGAGGCCTCACTTGATCGTAAAGCATTAATTCATTCTCCCAATCTTAAGACAATCCAAGACAACTCTGCTGCCTGGTAGCTTCTATAATGTGACTGGTTCTTCCTTTTATACAAAATACCACTTTATTTTTATGTCTTTCTTTTCTTTTTTACAGATTTTATTTGAGAGCAAGAGAGACAGAGGGAGCACAAACTGGGGTAGGGGGGGCAACAGAGGGGAGAGGGAGAAACAGACTCCCAGGTGAACAAGGAGCCCATAACGTGGGGCTTGACTCCAGGACCCTGAGATTATAACCTGAGCCAAAGGAAGACACTCAATTGCCTGAGCCAGTCAGGTGCCCCTGTGTCTTTTCTTTTTAAAGATAGCTTCAATTAATCTTCTTCACTTATTTCTTGAAATACTGCTTCTTTACCCTTCCATTCTCTTTTTCTGGAATGCCTGTTAAATAAATATCAGATTTTGCTATCTTCCATGTCTTTTTTTTTTTAAACTGAAGGAATACTGTACCCATCGTTTAGTTTAAGAAAGAGGACTTAAGGGATCCCTGGGTGGTGCAGCGGTTTGGCGCCTGCCTTTGACCCAGGGCGCGATCCTGGAGACCCGGGATCGAATCCCACATCGGGCTCCCAGTGCATGGAGCCTGCTTCTCCCTCTGCCTATGTCTCTGCCTCTCTCTTTCTCTCTCTGTGACTATCATAAAAAAAAAAAATAAAAAAAAAATTTAAGAAAGAGGACTTAATTACTTCTGAAGTAATTAAGCTCCTATGAAGTTTAGAAGCTTCACAGCTTTAGAAGCTCCTGTGCTCTACCACCACCATAATCCTATACTACTTCCTCTTCTTCCAGAGTAACTACTATCCTGAACTTTTGAGTTTCTTTCCAGTTTTATATATTTCTATCTATAAACAATGTGTTAAAAATATTATGTGTAGGGATCCCTGGGTGGCGCAGCAGTTTGGCGCCTGCCTTTGGCCCAGGGCGCGATCCTGGAGACCCGGGATCGAATCCCACATCGGGCTCCCGGTGCATGGAGCCTGCTTCTCCCTCTGCCTATGTCTCTGCCTCTCTCTCTCTCTCTGTGGGACTATCATAAATAAATAAAAATTAAAAAAAAAATATTATGTGTATAACCTGGTATACAAATGCAAGTTTCTTTCTACATGCCTAGGAATAAAATTTCTGGATCATAGGTAATTTGCATTTTGAGGTTTGGTTATCAATTTTATTACCTAATATTATCTTTATTTTAAATTTTGCCAATTTGATAAGCATGAGTGGTTTTTTTTAAGTTTTTTTTTTTTAGGGCGGCCTGGGTAGCTCAGCGCCTTCAGCCTGGGGCATGGTCCTGGAGTCCTGAGGTCCAGTCCCACGTCAGGCTCCCAGCATGAAGCCTGCTCCTCCCTCTGCCTGTGTCTCTGCCTCTCTCTCTCTCAAGAATAAATAAAATAAAATAAAATAAAATAAAATAAAATAAAATAGGAATTGCCTTAAAAAATTTATTTATTTATTCATGAGACAGAGAGAGAGAGAGAGGCAGAGACATAGGCAGAGGGAGAAGCAGGCTCTTTCCAGGAGCCCGATGTGGGACCTGGTCTTGGATCCCGGGATCACAACCTGAGCCCAAGGCAGCCACCCAACCGCTGAGCCACCTAGGCATCACAACATGAGTGGTTTCTTACTGAAGTTTTAATCTAAATTTCTTTGAATAATCAAGGAGGTTAATTTCCATATAATTATTGGTCATTTGATTTCTTCTGTGAAATGCCTATTTGTCTTTTTCTACTGGACTAATTTTTTTGACAGTTGAATTTGTAGCTTTTGACAAATACAGGATGTTAATATTTACCAGTTATGTGTTTTAAATATTTTCTCCCTGTTGGTTGCTTGCCTTTTTACTTTATTTTACTTTTGATTTACTGAAGGTCTTAATTTCTTTTTTTTCTTTTTCTTTTTTTTTTTTAGATTTTATTTATTTATTCATGAGAGAGACAGAGAGGCAGAGGGAGAAGCAGGCTCCATGCCAGGAGCCTGACGTGGGACTTGATCCCGGGTCTCCAGATCACACCCTGGGCTGAAGGCGGTGCTAAACCGCCGAGCCACCCAGGCTGCCCCTGAAGGTCTTTTTTTTTTTTTTTTTTAAATTTTTATTTATTTATGATAGTCACACACAGAGAGAGAGAGAGAGGCAGAGACACAGGCAGAGGGAAAAGCAGGCTCCATGCACCGGGAGCCCGACGTGGGATTCGATCCTGGGTCTCCAGGATCCCGCCCTGGGCCAAAGGCAGGCGCCAAACCGCTGTGCCACCCAGGGATCCCGCCCCTGAAGGTCTTAATTTTAATTTGAATTCATCAGTCTTTTCCTGTAGTTTGTGCTTTTGGTGTGTTTTGTTGAATTTTCCATGCCTTGAGAATAAAAGATAGCTTTGTATATGTACGGTCTTTTAAATGTTTCATAGTTTGGCCTTTACAGTTAAATCTTTAATCCACTTGGAATGAAGGGATCATTTTTTTCCCATATGGATAACTAATGGTCTTTGCACCATTTTTTCTTAAAAAGTTCATTCTTTCTCTGCTGATCTGTAATGCTGGCTCTGTCATAAATTAAATTTCCATATTTATGAGGATCTATTTCTGAATTTTCTAGTCTGTTTCAATGGTTAATGCTCTATCCCTATGCTATATAAATGAGAAAGGATTTGCTTGCTATCTAGGATACATATAAGGAACTAAAAAAAAAAAAAAGAAAGAAAGAAAGAAGAAAAATGGGCTACTTGCATAGATACTTCACAGACAAGGATACATAAATGACCAATAAAAACATGAAAATAGGGATCCCTGGGTGGCGCAGCGGTTTGGCGCCTGCCTTTGGCCCAGGGCGCGATCCTGGAGACCCGGGATCGAATCCCACGTCAGGCTCCCGGTGCATGGAGCCTGCTTCTCCCTCTGCCTGTGTCTCTGCCTCTCTCTCTCTCTCTCTCTGTATGACTATCGTAAATAAAAAAAAAAAAATAAAAATTAAAAATTAAAAAAAATACTGATTTAAAAAAATTGTTTAAAAAAAAACATGAAAATAAAAAAAAACATGAAAATAATTTTTTTAGATAAATATTTTCAGGTAATTTACTCTTACACTTGAATGGTAGTTTAGGTGGGCATAATTGTTTTCCTTTAGAATTTTATTTTCTTTTTTTCTGATTATTTTTTTTGTAAAGACTTTTTATTTATTTATGAGAGACAAAGAGAGAGAGAGAGAGGCAGAGACACAGGCAGAGGGAGAAGCAGGCTCCATGCAGGGAGCCGGATGTGGGACTCAATCCCGGGTCTCCAGGATCACACTCCGGGCTTCAGGCAGCGCTAAATCGCTTGCGCCGCCACCGGGGCTGCCCTATTTTTTCTTTTAAAGATTCTATTTTTAGGACGCCTGGGTGGTTCAGTGGTTGAGTGTCTGCCTTGGGCTCAGGAAGTGATCCTCAGGTCCTGGGATCCAACCCCACTTCTCCCTCTGCCTATGTCTCTGCCTCTCTCTGTCTCTCATGAATAAATAAACAAATCTTTAAAAAAATAAATAAAGATTGTATTTTTAAGTAATCTCTACACCCAACATGGGGCTTGAGCCTGTACGACTGAGATCAAGAGACCAAGCCAGCCACGCATCCCTCCCTCAGAAGTTTAAAGGCTTTGCATCATCACCCTTTGGTTGTCAGTGTTCCTTTTCAGAAATGCAAAGCCATCTTGATTCCTGAAATTTTGTATGTGACTTCTTTTGTCCTTTTGTAACTTTGTAATACACTGTATTTATTGTTCCTAGTGTTGTGAAATTTCAAGATAGTGCACTTTAGCATGGGTTTATTTTCATCCATTGTGCCAGGCACTTGATGGGTCCCTTCACTCTGGAAACTCAAGTCATTTACTTGTTCTATAAATTAATTCATTGGTGATTTCCTTCCCTGATTCTTTGTTCTCTTTTCTGGAACAATTATTATTCAAATATTGGACCTCCTGGCCTAGTACTCCAATTTTCTGGAACAATTATTATTCAAATATTGGACCTCCTGGCCTAGTACTCCAATTTTCTTTCTTTCTTTTTTTTTCCTACTATGTTCTGTGAGGCCATAGAAACCAAAGTTCAATCCCATATAATTCAATGAGGTCTCTTGAGGTGCTACTATCCTTAGTGTTCTATTAATTATATCTTACAGATTATAAAATCCATTTTTTGCATTTTATTTATTTATTTTTTTAAGATTTCATTTATTTATTCATGAGAGACAGAGACAGAGAGGCAGAGACATAGGTAGAGGGAGAAGCAGGCTCCATGCCGGGAGCCCAATGTGGGACTCCATCCCAGGATTCCAGGATCGTGCCCTGAGCTGGAAGACAGACGCTCAACCATTGAGCCATCCAGGCATCCCCCAAGATTTTATTTACTTTTTTAAAATTTTTTAAAAAGATTTTATTTATTTATTCATGAGAATACACAGAGAGGAGAGAGAGAGGCAGAAACACAGGCAGAGGGAGAAGCAGGCCCCACGCAGGGAGCCCAAAGTGGGACTTGATCCAGGGTCTCCAGGATCACACCCTGGGCTGCAGGCGGCGCTAAACCGCTGAGCCACCGGGGCTGCCCTATTTTTTTAATTTTTTTAATTTTTTAATTTTTTAATTTTTTTTTAATTTTTATTTTTTTTTATTTTTTTATTTTATTTATTTTTTTTATAAATTAATTTTTATTGGTGTTCAATTTACCAACATACAGAATAACACCCAGTGCTCATCCCGTCAAGTGTCCCCCTCCGTGCCCGTCACCCATTCACCCCCACCCCCCGCCCTCCTCCCCTTCCACCACCCCTAGTTCATTTCCCAGAGTTAGAAGTCTTTATGTTCTGTGTCCCTTTCTGATATCTCCCACACATTTCTTCTCCCTTCCCTTATATTCCCCTTCACTATTATTCATATTCCCCAA